GGAGTATATATATATACCCAAGTAGCGAAACGATATTATTTAGTATAAGAAAGATGCAATATAATACTGCCCTGCTAGAAAACGCTAGACTCTCGAATTCTTTCTTCTAATATTAGAGCTAATATTATGTAAGATTAAATAGTATTCGATCTAACAATCGAACTCTTAAAGTTATCATCTATTTCATTAATTATGGATTGGAGCTACTTTTTGGGGAGAGAGCACTTAATATTATGAATAAATAAAAATTTATTTATTGATGGAATTAAATTCATTTCTCGTATAAATTAGTAATTTTTTATTAAACTTTCTTAATTTCAGTAATAGTTACATATAACATTAAATTAGCATGGTAGGTAGTGTTTTTCCTTCAGTTAAAAATCAGCCAGAAAAATAACATAAAGCTCTTCAAAGCATGATGTGTTAGAGAGAATGATGTTATGAAAACAATTCGTCTTAATAATCTTGATAGCTTAATAGAAACATTTAAGTATTAATTGACTGATTCTATATCTATTAAAGTCAGTCAATATTATGAATTGTGTTCATTATTGACAATGAGTAGCTCGCGCGTAGTAGTTAGCCTCTCTGTTAAAACATAGTGTCTAACTATAATAAGTACTGTAGTTAGTTCATCATGATTTTTTTTTCTTAATTACTGCTGTGTGTAATTTCTTCTAGAACTTTGTTATAAATTTTCAGAAATTTGAAAAATAGTTTGTTGACAAGCATTATATATGCATTGATAAAACTTTATAAGATGCGATGTTGAAAATTTAATAGGTTTGCTTAAGCATCATGTAAACAGTTGAATATATTTAAAATTTGGTTACTTTTAATTTATCGATATGATAGCAAAAGCAATTTTCTTTAAACTCTCCCATTAAACACAATCTCTATCTTGTTGGGGATTTATTATTGTTGTATTAACATTGTTTTTATTACTTTAATTTAAAATTAATTAGTTGAAATTTGAGACAAGAAAAGTATATATTTTTATTTTTATTATATTTTAAATATTATAATTGTAAAATAATGATAATAGTAAAAATGTCTGATTAACTTAATATTTAAAATTCAGTCGAAGAACATTTATATTATAAGGTCCTGTATAGTCGTTGTGAAAACATGTTGTGTAAATGCATAATATATCTTATTCTATGGCTTATTTATTAATACCAAAAACTTTACTCCTGCATTTGCTCACTTTATTGTATTTTCTATTTCATAATTTGACAAAATTTATGTAAAATTAAATTTATGAGGATAAAAAATTGAAAATTATTGCTTCGATTAAGATTCGTAGCCTTAAACTTTAAGTCAATTTTTTAAAATTATTACTATTTCAATTTCTTTTATTTTTAAATTAAAATGCAAGTTCAAAATTATGAAAATGTACGTTAAAATGACATAGAAGTGCCCTCTAGTTAAATATTGCGTGATGCGACAGACATCAAAGCAATTCTGAGAAAAGTTAGGAGTTCTAAACATGTTTTTAAAAAATACTATTTTTCCTAAAGTTTATAATTACTTTTGTATATCATTATAAAATTCTAAATTTCTAAGTTTAAGCGCAAGTTATTTGATGCAGAATAATGTAAATATTAAATATTATTAAATGAAAAGTTTATATGGTTACATATTTATTTCCGAATAATTTGAAACAAATTATTAGCATATTATGAATTTTTGATTTGATATTAATAACTTTGTAGTATCGATAAGAAAAATTTCAAATGCCATTTTCCCTTCATATTTAATGAAATACATATTTGCATTTTTTATCAAAATTTTAGTCACTCAAATATTTTTTAATGAAATTATGAGCACGAAATATGATTTGGAGGAAGTGGATGGTATTATAATTTTATTTATTTTTTTCTGTATTTAATGCGTCTTGGAATAATATTATAAAGCTATTATTTAATGTTTTACTGCTTCACAATATAGAAAAATAAGTAAAATTATACCGTCGAAATATTCTACTACCATCCAAATCTTCCTCCTGCTTATTACAAAAAAAAAAAAAAACGATCGCTAGATAATAACAGAAAATATAAAATCTAATGTAACATCAAAACCGATACAAAATAATATTAAGGTAAATTTAACATAATATTTTG